CAGGTCATGGTCCCAGGGTCCTGGGATCGAGCCCCGCATCGGGCTCCCTGCTCCACGGGAAGCCTGCTTCTCCCTCTCCCACTCCCCCTGCTCATGTTCCCTCTCTCGCTGTGTCTCTCTCTGTCAAATAAATAAATAAAATCTTAAAAAAAAAAAAAAGAATATCCTAATTGTACATTTATTAGAAAGCTGTATTTCCTATTCTATATTCCATAGGCTTCCTAATAGCCTTTCTTAAAATCTTGTAGCAGGGTATCCCTTCATTCTAGGTGACAAAAATTTTCACCTATAAAAAAAAATGTAATGTCAACCATATCACCTATGCTTTTATTATATGAAATACATGAAAGGGTTTTTTTCCAATCAAAACCCAAAATAATTAGACTTCAGATATTTCCAGAGATTATCTGGGTTTATTGCCTGCTCTAGCCCATGCTGGCTAAGAGATTTAGGACAAGTTAAAAGGGTCTCTGAGGAACTGCTGGACACATGTATTTTAGAACATGTAAAATACAGAGAAATTCTTTTTAAGTCCCATATGCTCACCAAGCAGAGGTCACCATTATTAATACTGCACAATTCTTCCTTGTAAAATCTGTATTGGTTTCTTTTGTCTTTTGCTATTAAGCTACGAACATAACATATACTATTCTTGTTGGAAACGATTCAAACTAGATACAAATACAGAGAGGAAAACATGAACATGACTCCTACTCTAGGGCCAAACACGTTAGCATATATATATTTCCAGGCCCCTTTCAGTGCATTTACATGCGCATGCATGCTCACACATGCTTACATGCCACACACAGAATCTACTTTCTAAATTCATCCTTGTATCAAAGTTAATAAAACATCAGAAAGTTAAATAACCTGGAAGCAACATACTAGGGCTACATTAGCTTAGATCTCCACAAAATGCTGAAGTAAATCTCAATATGAGGACTTCAACTTTTACTGAGGGTCAAAATAAGAAGTGGTCAGTTAGCATTGACCACAAAATAACTGTCAAAGATCTTGTCCCTTATTACTTATACCTTTCAGTCAGAAAAAATCAATTATGATCATTTCCTTCTAAAATCGGGTGCCATGAGGGATCTTTTGGGCTGATGGAAATGTTCTAAAATTGAACTATGGTGATGGTGACAGAACTCTGTAAATTTACTAAAAAGCATTGAACTATATGCTTAAAAATGAGTAAATTTTATGGTGTGATAATTATACCTCAATAAAGCTATTTGTTAAAAAAAAAAATGATACCAGGGAAAGATTACTTCTTCTGAAGAACGCGTTTGCACCCTCTGATAAGGCAATGAGGAACAAAATACTAAGAGCTCATATACATATGTAACAGACACTGTTCTAAATGCTTATATTAACGCGTCCAAGCCTCTCAGCAATTTTAGGAGGAAGATCTTATTACTATCCTCATTTTACAGATGTAAAGACAGCATCACATAGAAGTTAAGCACCATACCCCAGGTCACACAACAGCTAGTAATTTGAGCAGGAATTTGGATCTGTGACAACTGGGTCCAGAGTCCATGCCCTTAACCTACACTAATGCTTCCCAAAACCACGTGAAAGAGTTCAGGCCAGGGCAAATTTAGAATTTAAATATAGAAATAATTTTATTTCTGGTACAATAATATCCCCCACCCTCTACATGTTTATTTTATATTTTAATTTTATGTTAATATTTGTTTATACTATAAAAGTCATTTCAGTCTGTTTTAAAAATATTTTACTTGTCTTATACTAAGTTCACTCTATGTATTATAAATCCATTATATACTATTATTATAAATACATGAACTATTTACTTGCTGAAATAAACTCTACTAGAAGTTACTATTATTTCTTTTTCTTATAATCATCCATAATGATATAATCCTGAAAGCACTGCAAATCCATAGTGCAGTCTAGAATCAGCACTACAAAACTCAGTAGCATCCTAAAGAGATCTAGAAATTCCATGATAAATAATACTCTGTATTTAAATCCCTAAGATTGTTTTTTCTCCAAAAGGAAAAGTTGGGTAGCTTTAGAGACATCCTATTTGACTGGCCTCCAGAAGAAAACAACACTGACTTCCATTCTGCACACATGAACACAGAAAAACATAACACAGAGAATGAACATGACATAGTCTGAACATCTGAGTTGATGGAAACCAGTCAAGGAAAGGTAACAGCAGTAAAGACACTGAGGAGGTACTCAGGCAACTGAGCTTTGAAAAGACATCATGGGCACAGGAGGTTAAGCAGACTGATTCTGGACTTCCTAGA